GGCGACTTCAAAGTTCTATTTCGGTAGTTAGCTTCGGTGGAAACTGCTAAAACTTGATCCAAAGCTCTACTACTATGTTCTGAAGATGTTGCAATCAAGTAATGTAAGACACGTATCTGCCGCATTGGAGCTAATTGTGAAAACCTTTAGACCATACACTCAATGCACATGCTCAGCTATTGCATTTAGTATGTGGGCGACTTCAAAGTTTTATTTTGGAAGTTAGCTTCGGTGGAAACTGCTAAAACTTGATCCAAAGCTCTACTACTATGTTCGGAAGATGTTGCAATCAATTATTGCAAGATATGTATCTGTCATATGGTGGAGTCAGGGGTTCTAAGGCGTTGGACAATGTCCCAGTGCAATGTGCTGATTCTTGAAAATATGGCATCACTTGACACTTCAAAGTTTTATTTCAAGAGTTACCTTCGGTAGAACCTGCTCAAACTTGCTACACAGTACCATCATTAGGTTATGATAGCATAACCATCGAATACAGGGCAAGTCCAGTGTCAAATACTTGTGGGCGGGGCTAATATGTGGGACGTGTGCGCTGAAATGGGATGATTCCGAAAAGAGAAAAAGGTCACCTTCTAGCAGAATTCTACCCACTTCTAAAGCTTATGCTGGTATTTAGCAAGTATACTACTGTCCTGATGTTGGACATCAAGAAAAATGGGGTAACTACGAGTGCTACGGCCAAAAAAGTGGTTTTCCGATGTTTTTTGGCCTAAATTGGCAATTGTGAGTATGCTATGTTTGGCCCCTCCCCCGAGTGAAACCGGCCGGTAGAACTTGATAAAATTTTGTCTCCGTACACTAAATATCCTACGGAACAAAGTACAATCGTTTGTAGCCACGTTTCAAACAAAAAAAAATTGGACCCGAGGGGTAGGAGCCACCTTAAGGTGGCTCGCGCCTATTTCTAAACTCGTCTTCTGCGCAGGTTCTCGCGCATCCTACGTTCGAGAAAAGTGCATGCGGAGTTGGCGTAGCGAGCTTGTAGCGCACTCCAGTTTCGAAGGGTCCAGCTCGAGCATATGGCCTGAGTACGAAACTCTCGTACTCGAGTCTAGAGTGTGAGCTTTTTTCTTCTTTTTTTTCACTCCTTCACTTGGCTACTTTTTTTAGGTGCATTTTTTACTTGTGGAAATTGTCACCTGTCAGAGAAGTTTTGGGATGTCCCTTCCAGCAGGCACTGCCCATGCCCATGGTCGGCTTCGGAAAAAGAGTAGAATAAAGGCGTTGGAGTCTATGTGGATGTCTTGGAAGGAATGGGGGACGGCACAGACGGGTACGTGAATGTGTAAAACCTGAGTATTTTGTATTTTCGTTGAATTGGTTCAAGTGACTTGGCGAGTCCCTTCCACAGTAGAACGCCATCCTTCACAAAATTTGTCTGACTATTTTGTCAAGAATGGCCGTTCTATAATGATCAATCGACTCTGAAGCCAGTGGATTGTGGAGGTCGCCCTTGCATATAAATTGAAATGGTCACGAACGAACGAAAGTATTTTTGATTCGAACATGTACTGGACAACGTGGTTGCATTGTGTCAGTAGAGGGTACTACTGTAGTATCTCACCATTTCTTTATGGTAATCGCTGTCCACCAAGAACTCTCCTATAGTTATTGCCACGGCTTGATCACAGCGGTACACTGAGTTTTTGTTGAGAAATTCCTTCAATTTATTGTCTTATCACTCAGTGCTCGAGCGTTTTATTTAGGATGCATTTTTTAGAGATTGATATTTGCCAGTATGTGTTTCACATCACTCTTGACGAGAATAAGCATTTGAAAGCAACACTGGCTGACAGCAATCATGCTCCCCAGGCTCTAGTGTGTGTGTGTGTGTGTGTGTGTGTGTGTGTGTTACAATGGTGTGCATGGCAATTTGGTAGAGTATGTGTGAATACAAAGTCCACTATATTCACAAACTCAAGTACATCGCAAAATTGTGCCTTCGTATAGTATATGGTGCCTTCATAACTTTGACTAGCCCTAACCTGCTGTTTGACAGGTGTGTCATTAGTGAATGTACATGTATACTGTCTCTCTTCACAACTACGTGCATGTAACACAATATTTACAGTGCACTTGCAGTGTATATAGCTAGATCAATGTACAGTAATCAGTAAATTGTGGCTGCCTCTGTCACATTGTCATATTCACGCGACGTACATTCTAAATCATCGAAAATGCCCAAACCTATTTCTACGTGTGCAGAAGAAGATTGAACACATTTTTTCCTTGCATCTGCGCCTTGATCCTTGAAGGATGACGGTGTTCCTACGGATGCGGAAAACTCGGCCTCTAGCCGAGTCTGACGCGAGCCGTGAATTTTTCCCTTGACATTGGTTGATGGCATCAGTCACATCTAAGAGTGACACTCTATCTCAAACATATTTACGCAAAGAAGTAGTAATCTTATCTTCATTGGAGCGATGGTCTGCAGGCGTGCGATCATGTGTGGGCCTTGTGTGTGTGCGTGTGTGTGTTTAGTCACTGTTTACGCGCACGTTTGTGAATGTGCGTGTGTGTGTGTGTGTGTCTGGCCTGGTATGGGGTTGCTCAGGATAGTTCTGCATGGTGGGTGGACGGTACTGTCTTATCTGCCATCGGTCGTTTTGCCAGCCAGGTGACAAACAAGGCACAAATGTGGCGCAGAGCGAAGTCTCCCCATCCAGGATCAGCGTGGTGCTGTGCAGTGTGGTACATGCAGAAGGTGGTTTCACTCTCGTGGTGGCTTGCGTGTGCATCATTGTTTGCCCCTGGAACCATCGAAAGTGTCCGCGCCGGCATCATCTATTCCGCTCAGCTTCCAAGCTTCTCTCTTGTGTTTGACATGCAATCGGCAATTCAAGTCAGCGCCTGGTTTCAGACGTCACACGTGCGACCGTGGCCATCGGGCAACCAAGTCTGACAGAGCGTCATAATGGTGTCCGCTGTTCTCGCTGCAGCCGTCAGTTCCGTCGACAGAGTGACCTGAGTCGTCATCTCCGTTTCTGCTCCTGACAATGACTCTGGCTTCTTTCGGAATGGTGTGGCCCGTGGGCAACCATGCTACAGTGGCAGTAGTAGTAGTAGTTGTGTGTGTGTGTGTGTGTGTGTGTGTGTGTGTGTGTGTGTGTGTGTGTGTGTGTGTGTGTGTGTGTGTGTGTGTGTGTCTGAATAGTGGCGGTCAATTCTTCAGTCTTGCAAGCTGTTGAATGGTGCAATCCCAGCACAAGCTGCTATGGCTTCTGCTGTAGCATTGCTATCATCACCTCCGGCGATGGGCGTCCAATGGTGTGTGTCTGGAGCGCCATGGGGTGGCGTGCTCTTTCTCTCTCTCTCTGCTGCCCCTCCGGGGCCCACGTGACCCTAGTGGTAGTGGCTCGACAGGACAGGTGTGTGTGTGTGTTTGCACGCATGCGTGTGTGTGTGTGCACGTGTGTGTGTGTGTGTGTGTGTGTGTGTGTGTGTGTGTGTGTGTATGGTATGTGGGTGGTATGTGTATGGTATGTGTGTGTGTGTACACGTGTGTCAATGTGTATTGCAGGGTTGGGTGGGCTAGTAGAGAAGGGTAGATGTGTGCGTGCGTGTGTGTGTGTGTGTGTGTGTGTGTGTGTGTGTGTGTGTGTGTGTGTGTGTGTATGTATGTATGTGTACACATGTGTCAATGTGTATTGCAGGGTTGGGGTGGGGCTAGTAGAGAAGAGTAGATGTATATGGACATGTACATGGGATATGTAGGTGTGCATGTACATGCACCAAAGCAAACTTATCAAAAAGGCCTTCTGCGCCTATATGGCGAAATTGAGCATTGAAGCATATGTTTTTTATTTTCTCATTGGCATGTACACATTTAGTCCATTCAATAACCAAAAAATGAGGAAGATTGTAAATCAGGTTCTTGATGAAATACCCGTCCGCTATACATCACAAATCCTGTACAAATTTGACAATTTAGTGAAATTGTCATCGCCTATATCTCAAAAGTTAGCATTGAGACCCCGTTTTTTTAACTCGCCATTTGCATACACTACCTAAGAGCAACCACCCACCAAATTTTCAGAGCAATCGTTAATTTTTTTGAAATAGGCGTGAGCCACAGACAGACCCCCAGCAAGTACGAAGGTTACAGAACTGTTTGCTTGCGATGTGCAGGCAGCATGCACGACGAACTGTCTCACCAATCCTGCCAAACTGAACCAGTGTAAGTTGATTGCGTGGATATGTCTCTATTTATAACAGCTACCCTACTTCTAGGCATGGTTGCATGAATACCATATCACTCAGAGCAGTTGTTAGAAGTCTGGACAGCCTAGGAATAGTGCAAGTAAAGTGAAACAAAAATTTATTACACTCCGAGTTCCACGCTTGCGGGATCACCAGGCCAAAAAAATCTAATTTCGAACAAGGAATGGGTTCTGGTTGTATGCGAAAGAAAAGTAAGTGAAGACCTATTGTGCAAGGAATACAGTGGGAACTACACACATTATACACATGCACTCACACCTTCACCCACATGCGCGCGCGCGTGCACACACACAAACACAACAACACACACACATACGCACCCACATACTCAAACTCACTCACATGCACGCTAGCCTAAGGATAGTACATATGCTGTAGTAGTGGTGTACTTAGTGAAATGACTATGTGTACATCTAATGACGCCGCCACTCCACGCCAGAAGACAACAAACATCTGCTGAACATTTTTGCTCCCGTCTCTTATGGGCAACACAGGGAATGAAACGAACAATGCAATTGAGAACAAGAGTCGTCCTGTACGGTGAAGTTTCCATTTTCTCATACAGCAGTATATTGTCTAAGCAAGTGTGTTTTCTCCACATTCTTTTTGCCATGCAGGTATATCACAGTGTCATGCCAAACTACATTCTCAAACGCATTCGTTTCTCAATTCTGGGGATGATTGGACACGCACATCTCGCAGCTCTTGACGACGTCAATGTCAACCGTCGCCACAGCACAACCAAAAAGACCGCGATAGGAAGGTATAAAGTCCAGTTCTCAAAGCATAAAGAAGACTGTGGCCAAATAGAAAATTATACGACAGAAAGAGCTATGAGTATGTTGACAAGCTCATGTGTGAGGTGGTAGCGGTTGCAAATGGCAACCTCGATGTTCCTGCCTTGGAGAAGCATGTTTCCCTGCCAAATTCCAGGTGGAAGCCTCCTGAGAAGGCTGAGGTGGTGCAGGATTTGGATATCTTTGCCTGATGGTATTCACAACGCAGGCTGGAAGACGACAACGAACGTGCTTGCCCAATTTGCCGTGTACATAGTGTGTACTGCCTGTGTGCCGCATAGCGTAGAGATCTACACAAACACAGAATGTCGTATGGAATGTGTATGATGAGTGCTTGTACACATACCACATTGCTGTACCGTAATAATTATTATAGTCAAATACTCATTTACTCTACATATGCGCTGTATTGCACCTACCGGTACCTACCTGCACTTTCAGTGCGCGCGCCATACTAATTTAGTGTCCACTGGTACAAAGATGGAGGGTCTTGTAGAATTTACCATAATTGCTGATTTCAAATTGAATTCCAATGATCTGGGGGATGAATACTGATTAGGACGCGTTCGATTACCTACTAGTACAGAGATGTCTTGGTCAGAAAGTACAGATTTCTTACTCTCCTGCCAGAATTTGTGCATTATTTTGGTGTACGCTTTCTTGACCCCACGCTTGTACGTTGCATGCCATGGTATACTAGAAAACGAATTTATTGACAAAGTCTATCGCTTGAAACGATAAAGTATGGGTTCGGGTGTGATCAAATGCACCCATGGTGCTCATAAACTGTGTGCAGTGCTCTCTTCACCAACAGAACACTACCTACCATACTTTGTAGATCTTGTACCAATCCAAGGGAAAATGACAAAGACAAAATAATGTGAGTCATGCATGAAAACTTGTGATAGCACTATAGTACAGAACAACGTTGTTCGTGCTATGCCTGACAACAATAAGTTACACACAAAACGCGCATCGATCCTCACAAGATAAGTCAAGACATACTCGGAGCAAAGAGAAATGTGTATGTGTCATGCATGAAACTTGTGATAACTACCAGTACAATGTCTTTCTTGTGCGACGCCTACTGTAGTGCGCCTGACAACAATAAATTTCCCCAAAAAAATAAGAATAAGTGTATCATGCTGATACGCGATCCTCACAAGACAAGTCAAGGCAAACTAATTGAGGCTTACCTAATGTCAGACTCTTCTGTCACTGGCATTGGCGGCTTCTGCATGTCGAGATAACCTCGAAGAGCAGTGATGGGCACAGCCTAATGCAAGGATCCGATCTCGTAATCTGCGAGGTCCGCTACGCAAGAAACCTTGGGCCGTCTTGTCGACAGCGACGGCAGCATCCTACCAGCAAAATCATTCCCGCGGGCTGGGCATGGCTATACACTTTTGTCCACGCTCGCACCAGTCGGAGTCCCAAACGAATCGAGATTCTGGTGGCCAAGCTACTCGTCTTCTGTCGGACGCAGCTGCTGAAGCATCTTCTTCCTCAACATTTGTTACACGCGATGGCAGCTCCTCAGCAGAGTATCTAGGCTCCCTGCCCCAACCATACGCGGCGGTGGGCTGTTGGTCGTCCTCACTGGCCTCAGCATCGCTGCCTTCATTGCTGGGGACAGAGGATTGTTCGGAATCGCCCATCTTCCCTTGAAATACCAACTAAAATTAGTGCTTGTAGATTGGCGAAGAGAAACGACTTTGCCACAATGACGTAGGCAGCCCGTGATGATGTAACCAAATGGCCGCATGACGTCAGGGCGCAGCCCCCGTTTTTGCAATTTCAAAGTGAAATATCTCAAGAACGCTCCGTCGTAGAGGCTTCGGACCAAGACCATTCGACTCAGCGCCCGAAACTCTACAGGCTATCAAAGTTTCATTTTTTCGTGGAGTTCCCCTTTAACTCGTTTCCATATGTCCTTTTCCTTTCTACTTTTAATATTGGTTCAATACCCGAGTTTCAAATAATAATAATAATAATAATAATAATCTTCACTAGTTTGAGGGAAAGAGACAAACGGGAAAAGTCTGAAGAAAAAATTGACTGTCACTACCAGGACTCGAACCAGGGACCCTCGCTTGTAGCTAGCGATGCTCTAACCACTGAGCTATGGTGTAGTCGTCATCCCAGCAGAGATTGTTCAACATTTTCATCAGACTTCGTAGCTCACACTTCCTGTGAATCCACGCAGGCGGGTGGGACGCAGCCCTCACTGTACCCACACACTTCACGTACACTCTAGCACGCGGTCTCAACCCATCGGTCTCAACCCAATCTCAAACGAATTAGCAAGAAGCGGCATAGGATATCGTTGTGGACCCACGCGTGATTCCCTGTTGTCGCATCTATGGTACATGGATGACGTCAAGCTATTTGCCGCAAGCAGTACTGGACTGGACTCCTTGATCAACATTGTGGAGTGCGTTGGTGGGGCGGTTTTTTTTCTACAAAATCCACATATCTCCAGACACTGGGGTGAATGATGGAGTGTGGTGGTGGGCATGCAACTATCTCCCACTAAGGGCTCGAAGATTGTCTGCCCGGCCGCTAAGCCAACCCAGGATGCAGAGCCTTCGTCAACCTTGCTAACAGAGTCGATCATTCATCCTCTGCAAGATGGCGCGGCGTACCTCTACCTTGGCCTGCGGGAATTCCTGGGAATCGAGGCTGGTGAAGTTAAACAATCTGCCATCGCTGAGTTCCGTCGCCGTCTTCGCTTGATCACGGATGCTTCACTATGTGCACCAAACCTCATCAGAGCAATCAACACCTACGTTCTGCCAGTGGTGTCCTATGGCCTTGGCACAGTCGTTCCTTGGACCGCGGATGAGCTCCGCTCGCTGGACAGGACAGTGAGGAAGACTCTGACTGCTAGCAGGGCCCACCACCCACGTGCCTCAATCCGTCGCCTATATCTACCGCGGAGTGAGGGAGGTCGTGGCCTAGTATGCATCGTAGATCTCCACGACCGTACTTGCATCCGGCTCGCTCAGTACCTGAAGGATCGGAAGATGTCCCTGCCCTGGCCGCTGTTCTCCAGCACCATGAATCACGTCCCTCTAGAAAATCAATACCAAAGCTGGCAAATACTGTCCTGCAGCGCCTTCGCCTGACGAGCCTGGACACCGCTAACAAAGAGACTGTTAAACAGGCCCTCAATGACAACCGCCGCCGTGAACTTCGAGCGATGCCTCTTCATGGTCGCTATTGGGCGCGTGTTGATGGCATCCTGGACATACAGCTCTCGTTTTCCTGTTTCAGATCCCAGACAATGCGTCCTGAAACGGAAGGCTTTCTCATTGCTTGCCAGGATCAGGTGATTGCCACGAGAAACAATATGCGCCATATCCACAAGAGGCATGATGTCGTGGACCTCTGTCGTGTATGTGGTGCACCTGGAGAAAATATGGACCACATCATCGCCTGCTGTCCAGCCCTGGCACGGACTGCATACATTGCCCGGCATAACTTTGTGGTCCAGGCCCTGCATCGTGCGCTGTGTAAGCAGCATGGATTACCCAGCAGTAAGCAGCTGGTACAGGTCACAAGTTCTGCCAGTTGCAAGCTTATGTGGGAGATTTCCATTCCCACAGATCGAGTAATAAAAGCGAACAGACCAGACCTGGTGCTGGTTCTGGATGATCGGGCACTGCTCTTGGACGTCAGTGTCCCATTGGACCACAGGGTCAATGAGAAGGTGCAGGAGAAGATCAGCAAATACCTGCCCTTGGCAGCAGAGCTGAGGAGGATCTGGAACAAAAAGATAACTATTGTTCCAGTTATCATTGGTGCTCTGGGTGGTGTGTCAGGAACGAGCCGCAGCCACATCTTAAGCCTTGGGCTCCACGCGTCCGTGATCCAGCGGCTGCAGCAATGTGCTATTCTGGGCACCCTGAGAATTGTGCGGTCGGTGACTGGTCATGGATGGGAGAGTGGCATGGTCGGAACGGTCGGTTGACCTTATGTTAGCCTGCCCGTAATGTCTCGATGTGTCTCAGTCTGTGTGTTTTATGATTGTGGTGCATCATGTGCTGTGTGACGAGCCGAGAGGCGTGAATTTCTGCAATATGCCCCCAGTCATGTATTGTCTTTCTCTGCATATGCCGTTTTATCTCGTCTGAGTTTGTCTTGCTTGGAGTGTCCCATGTGCAGCATGCTTGGTGTTTACTACTTGAGTAGTTCTGTTATACATGACTGTGATTTTATATGAGTATCGAAGTTGGTATAGTTGAATTTTTCTCTCATGAAGTTTATCAAAATTTTGTTCAGGATTTTCTTTTATCTTCATTGATTGGTGCTTCACCCTTGGGTCATATGGATCCCGGTGCTGTGCTTCATGCCTCCTTTCAAGCTTTCTTTTTCTGCTTTGGGAGTGAATAAAGTCGTCGTCATAATAATACAAATGATCAGTTGGGGAAGTGAACTGCCGGAAAAGAGAAAACCGCCAGACCCACCAGGACTCGAACCTGGGACCCTGCTTGTCATGAGCAATGCTCTAACCACTGAGCTATGGGACCAGGCTGAACCTAGAAGGCGCTGACAAGTTTTTCACACAGATACAAAGACAACTACGGTAATTGCACAGTAAGGATTTCATATTTAATAGCAAGAGTACATGTACATTTATTTTTAAGAGTACACATTTATGTACTCTTGATATTATTATTATTTGTAAGAAAGGGTTTGCTCCCCACACCGGAGCTCGCGCTATTCCGCCGACTTTACTTGACACTTGACTGACTCACGACTGCCATCCAGAGCACACGAGAAGTCCATCGAACCTTCGACTCGGCAAACCTGCAAGAAAGCACCACTCCCTGCTCAATACACAGTGTTTCGGGGAATTCACCCCTCATCAGTTGAGCTTGAGTAGGCTGAGGAAGATTGTGCCTGAAGAGCACCACTTATATAGTGCTCTCCAGGCACAAACATCACCAGGGATACAAACTTACAGAGACGCTCCGTTTCCAGCGCGACAAACACCTCGTGAACACCAGATACCAGCGTGAGTCAGTGTCGCTCCTGGACGGTGAGACAGACGTCGAGGACCCTCGGTCATTCGCAACGCTGTCACCTCCAAACCAACTAGTCGCAAGCCCGCGCTGGGCACAACAGTACGAAGTAGTGGTTGCGACTTCGGCGATGATTTGTAAGAAAGGGTTTGCTCCCCACACCGGAGCTCGCGCTATTCCGTCAAGTGTCAAGTAAAGTCGGCGGAATAGCGCGAGCTCCGGTGTGGGGAGCAAACCCTTTCTTACAAATCATCGCCGAAGTCGCAACCACTACTTCGTATTATTATTATTAAATTTTTGATAGGGCAATCCCCACAGGCCTAAGGCCTTCTTACAGGGTACCCTATATTTTATGTCGACATGTATGTGTAAAATGTTGTACGATTATCGTAAGGCTCACAACGAAAGGGAAAGCGAGAATTTGTTCAGAGCTGTTTTCTTGATACAATCATCAGTGAATCTACGTAACAATGGAATGGGAGCTACTTGAAACTAATCTTATATGGACAAATAAAAGTGAAAGAAGGGGAAAAAGAGCGAAACAAAAAAGGTCATTATACTACAGTCAACTTCGCTTATAACGACACTCGGCGGGGCATCAAAAAAGTGTCCTTATTCGCGAAGTGTCGTTATACCCGAAGTCTCATTTTATGTATTACAGTGGGATAGGACTTTTTTATTTTTTTTATTTTTTTTTTTTACTACGTTCACATAACCAGCTCGAAAAGAATAAGGAAAGACAATGGTACGGAGACTAGGACAAACGTGACAACTAATGAGCAGGCGCTGCACCCAGACGCAACAGTGATGGTGGGGCATTGATGACTCTGCCGACCTGAGGTCTCGGCGTCACGGCCAAAAACACGCACCAAAAACAATGAAAAAAGAAGAAGATAGAGCTGTACAGGTGAGAAAGATGCAAAAACCCAAGGCTTAACACGAGCGATTGTGGGGGAGAAACTGTCTTAGCGTCATACTATTCATAGGGAATCGACTGCCCAGAGCCAGTTTGTGCTGCGAAGATGGCGGTAAACATTCGTTTTGAATGATTGCATTCTCTTGCTGTGGGGAGGCTGGGATAGGAGAGCGGCAGGGAGGGAGTTCCAATCGCTGATGCTGCAGTGTGGGAACGAGCGCTTCAGTGCAAGCGGGGCAGATGCAGGCAGCTGGTGTTGGAGCTGGTGGTCATGGCCACTGACAGCACCGTGCTCGCTGCGAGTTCTGGGGTTGGTAGAGATGATGTGGCGCGGTGGCAACACAGAGAGCAGCTGCGGAGGACCAGGCAAGTAGTGCAGCTTGTACAGGCAGGCAAGCGAGGCAACAGTGCGGCGGATGGCCAGGCTGGGTAGGTGTGCCCCAGGGCCGATAGCATGAAGCGCGCGGCGCTGAACATTTGTTCAGACGCTGGAGGTGACTCTGCGCAGCTCCCATCCATACAAGAGGCGCATACTCCATGACTGGTCGTACGAACGCCTTGTATACGGTCGTCCGGCCGGCGGGGGTGAGTATGTGGGCGGCTCTGTTTAGGACCCCAAGCCGTTGGCGTGCACGGGTGGCTGCGGAGCGTAGGTGATCGCTGAAGGTCAACTTGGCGTCCACCTTCACACCAAGGAGGGTGATGGTGGTTGTCTCGGGCACCAGTGTGCCACCAAACAGGAGTGGGGGGAGATCTAAGCCGGTGCGTCTGAGGGTGGCTGTCATGGCCTGGGATTTGGTCGGTTCAAACATCACTTTCCATGTACGACCCCACTCGTGCAGTCGGTCAACGGA